CCGCCCGAGATTATATTTGTTTCATCCCTGACGTATTTCGTATTTCCTCTCTTCTGCATCGTCGCCTTACATAATTTCAGAAAAAAACCATTGTTTTTAAATGCTAAAAACTAAATATTTGTGCATCTGAATTAAACAACTTTTATGTAAAATGATTCGAATTTCGTGTACTTTTGTAATTTGGAAGTTTCATCCATGTTAAAAGGCTTAAAAAATTTTGTTTGCATTAATTTTCATAAATGACTTGTTAAGACGATTTATTTCATAACTAAATAACCATAGTTCCGAATTAAATAAACTTTATATGTAAACAGGGTAGAAAAATGTATAGATTACCATGGTGCACTTATTTTGCATGTTTAACAAAATTAAAATTGTGTTTTAGACAGAACAGTGCCAAATTCAAAATATGCACATGAGGATTTTCCGGAATTGTTATTTGTGTTTTCGGACTCATTATAACTTGTCTAAATAGGTAGTTTGCATATGCTTCACCTCTTGCCATGTTAACTAACATTTAATATTGATGAGTAGCATAAACGAGAGCGAACTAAATATTTGAATATGGTGTTTCATTGATATGCAGCTCGTTGCATATTGAGCTCCACTTAATTTGAAGTATTGTTTGTTGCACTTTGCCATGCCATGCCTCATTAAACTAGAGATGCATCATACTTGGTTGTGTATCATGTCATGTTTTTTCTTATTGGTTTACCATGTTGTTTGCTTCTTTCTGGTTGTGGTTCTTCCCAATAGTTCCAATTATGTTGTGATCGTGAGGATTCGTTCGACAAAGCCCGTTCATCTTCTTCATGGACTCGGTCTTTTTCCTAGCTGGATTCCAGGCAAGATCGCCATTAACTTAGATACCACTACTATCTTTGCTTGCTAGTTGTCTTGACGCTATAACTATGTCGCTCTACCTACCACTTGTTTGTCAAACCTCCCAATATGCCATGATAAGCCTCTAACCTTTCCCACCTTCCTAGCAAACTGTTGTTTGGCTATGTTACCGCTTTTCTCAGCCCCTCCTATAGCGTTAACAATTGCAGGTTGTTCCATGTTCTGACATGGATATCATGGGATATCAAAATATCTCCTATTTAATTAATGCATCTATATACTTGGTAAAGGGTGGAAGGCTCGACCTTTTTCCTGGTGTGTTGTTCCACTGTTGCCGCCCTAGTTTTTGTCATACCGGTGTTATGTTCCTTGATTTGCGTTCCTTACATGGTCGGGGTTTATGGGCCCCCCTTGAAAGTTCGCTTTGAATAAAACTCTTCCAGCAAGGTCCAACTTTGGTTTTACCATTTTCCTAATAATAACTAAAACTTGCATAGGGACCGGATAGCACCCGGGGATAATTAATCAACGACCCAGTCCAATGCTCCTCATGATTGTTGGTCCAAACGGGTAGATTGCGGGGCCACCATAGGGCAACTCAAGGATTGGTTTTACTCATAGCCTGACCTATCTGATCATGGCCTGAGACGAGATACGTGCGACTCCTATTGGGGTGTCGGCATGTCGGGAGGTCTTGCTGGTTTTGTTTTACCATTATTGAAATGTCTTGAGCACCGAGATTCCAAGGTTGATCGGGTTGTCTCAAGATGGAGGATTTTCCTCCATGGATCGTGAGAGTTTATGATGGACTAAGTTGGGACACCCTTGCAGGGTTAAATCTTTTCGGAAGCCGGGCCCGCGGTTATGTGGCGACTTGGAAATTTATAATATCCGTTTGTAGAGAACTTGCACTAAACCCAAAATAAAATACACAAACCGCGTGCATAACCATGACCATATCTTTTCGTGGGACTTAGGGACGAGAACACTATGGGGTTATGTTTGATTCGCAAGTAGCGCAGCATCACTTCTTGATCATTACTAGTTTGCGACGGTTATTCGTAAGTAGCTAGCATCATTTCTCTCTATTGTACTAGTAAGGTAGCCACCATACAATTCTTAGTGCTTGCTACAACCTCACCACTTATCCATTCCATACCCATTAAGCTTTGCTAGTCTTCATACCCATGGTAATGGGATTGCTAAGTCCTCGTGGCTCACAGATCACTACAACAACAGGTGTAGGTACAGGTAATGCGACGATCTGATGTTAGAGCGATGCTTGCTTTTTATGGAGTTCTTCTTCTTCTTCGATCTAGGGATAGGTTCTGGGTCAGGAGCCTAGGATTACCAAGGTGGATGTCGTTCTTCTTTTTCGTTTGGTTTCATCCTTAGTCAGATCCTACTCTTATGTATGATGATTGCTATGTATTGATGTATTCTTGTATTCATGCTATAGCTTGTGGGGAGTGTAAGCCTTTCTCCGGTATTCTCATCACTTCTGTACATGGTAACTTGTAATGATATCCATCTTGCTATGCACTCGAAATGCGGTTGTGCCCCAATCATGAATTCATCCCGTGATTGGGATATAATCACATCTTGGGCGCTACACTTGAGTATTTCCATAATCATCAAGGTTTTACCAACATCCATGCTGAGGATCCTGGCAACACATCATGCTACCATGATGAATAAGGATGGATGATGCAGATGCAAAGGAAGACTACTCTTTGTCAAATTTCCCCTTGATTGGGCCAAGGGAACAAAATCTGGATTATCGACCGAGAGAAATTTAGCACTCCACTTCTAATGTTCTCCTTGATGTACTAAATACCACGATCATTTTTAAAAGCATTAACATGGCCACCAACTAAAGATCTAACTTCGGGAGCGCAAATAATCCATAAGGAAGAACTTCTAGAATATGGCGTATGGAACACTCATGGATAAGATGGTTAAATTGCTAATCAAGATACCACAATAGTAGATCTTCCGACAAGGTGTGTCGACGAAAGCATCAACCTTGCCAGAACCTACATCATAGATCTTGGAAAAGTTCCAACCATCATATCTTCCTGGGATTTAGATCTGGTTGGTAAGAGAATATTTTAGACTAATCACGGTTGAAAAGAGAAATTTGCAACACTAACCGACGAGATGTCGTTGTGAGATTCTCAGGAAATGAACCATGGTAACAACTCCAAAACATGAATTGGATTGCAAGATACATGTGAACTTGTTGTGCAAGACAAGCATGACCACGTAGAAGTCTTACAACAAAACACTACCGAGTTCTGGTTGGGAACCATCATTGAGGAGATCAAAGTCCTTACATAAGTCATATGATTAGCTCTTTAGAAGGAACTTCTTCTCCTTGAACAAATCAATCAGTGGCTTAGGGTGCTAGGCAATACATATGGAATGAAGGTAATTAATCTACCAAACCATAGAATACTTCACACATGCGTGACTGACTTGGGATGATTCCAGACGAAGCAAAACAACTTCCTCAAATTCATGGCGACAACTTGCATCCAATGCACATGAACTTAGACGAAGTCACTTCTTATATCAAGACATCTACTTCATGAGCTAACACAAAGATGATGCTTACAAAAGTTTCCAATGCTTGCTTTAATGTTCGTCATGAATCATGGAGGAGATAAAATGTTGCTGATGGTCTCAACAAGAAGTCATCGGGATTTCACATAGATGGAACTCCATAATTATGTGAACAAGGTGATAGCATTGTTTGGACCAAAAGATATAAAGGTGCATGCTCAAGGAACAACTGCGAGTAAGACAACATTACGAGCGTCATTGGTTCTAGTTTGATTAGAGATATTCCACACTCAAATCAAAGTTTGGACAAAAACAATAGATCCAATAACTGATCACGAATATCAATCGATGAAGATATCTTCCCTCTTCAACACTCACGCAAACACAAAGATATCACTTTTGAATGAACTAAGTCATTTAAAGCTTTTATCTTCCAACTCTCTAAGTTATTATTTAGCATATCCAACTAGCTCACCAGTATCCAACACAGATCCTTGGAGAAGAGGTGCTTTAGAGGAAAACCAACTTGATCACGAATTCAACATATCGGTCAAGGGACAACCTGGTAATACATCCAAGAAGATATTCAGAAAATCACAAACCGCCGATATGTTATGAAGCTCGGGAACAATCTTGCTTTTCAAGGCAAGATGATATGACCGAAAGAGCGAAGAATTGACACAATCCTAACTCAACAATCGAAGAGTGCATGAGGAAAAATGGACTAGGTGGAACGATCAGTCTTAGAGTGGTGATTCAGTAACCAACACACTAAGAATTAGATTATTGTTCGTTAGCTACTAGGCAACAGATTTGCTAGGAGTATCAATTTCACACATCACATTTCATTTGTCGGTATTCCAGTTGCAATGACACAAGGACCAAGGAATCTTCGCTAATAATAAAGCGCTAATTGCTTCTGGTCGTACGTCATCGACATTTTTATAGAAAAGTCCCTCTGTATTTTACTATTCAACCCGTAGTCCTTTATTAATTGAGAAAAACGTTTCGCTCATGTTGTTTGCCAAAACTCCCCTTTTAGTTTCCAATACTCAACCATCAGTCCACAAGCAAAAAAAAAAAGAGCACGGGCTCTCCCTCACCTCCGGATCCCAGCCGCCAGGAGGTGACCGACCCCGACGATGCTCGATCCAGTGCCGCAATGCCCACTGGTCGGCGCTGTCAAGCACATCACCCTGCACCACGATTAAGCCATAGATCCTTCTCTCCTGCATGCGCCCGAGCTTGTCACTGTGCACCGCCTGGGAGGGCTCACGTTTGATGCAGAATGACAGCGGACGGAGCTTGTAGGGGCCCGGATCCATGCGTGGCGAGGGGGGTCGCTGGTGACGTGGAGGAAGGCCGGAGCACGCTTCCCTCGGCTCCATGGCGGCTCCTGGGCAAAAAGGAGATAGGGAGGTGAGGGAGAAAGAAGGGATAGTGATGAGTTCCAGACATTAAAGGTTAGGCACCTGGTATAAGCCTATCATTTCCTGAATCTTTCAACTCTGACGCTTAAATTGTTTGTCCTGATGTGTTTTCAGAATCTCATACTGCAAAAGATTGAAGGTCATATCAAGTGTATTAATGAAATGTGCAACATGATGTCTCTTCATCTTAAGAATACATTATATGAAGTTGCTCCCAACTTTGTTGAATTGGAAAGAATCAAATCCATGAGTATAAGTGATAGCACACTTGATAGGCTTGCAGGAAAAGTTCATGCACTAAATCAAGAAAAGAAACAGAGGCTTCGGAAGGTACCGGTGTTTGCTCTTCATGTTAGTCATTTAAAAAAACTATGGGTCTATGTTTACCTTTAGCATATTCACCTTAGTCAATATGTTTTACTGTTGACCACTAGTATGGGCCTATCATTGTGTTCGAGTAGTTGACCTAATAATATGATTCAGCTTAGCAAATCATATCATGATTTATTTTTTCCAAACTGTCGAATATGCTATCTTGCTTGTTACTCTTGTGATTCAATGTACCTATACATTTAATAAAAGCAGGAGCATGCATCTGTCTCACTTCAATGCTTCCATCTTGGCGTATATTGCTTGACTATTTGACCTCCATTATGCTAGTCATTGAATTTGAGACTTGAAATTATAATGTGATTCAGCTTAGCAAAGCAAATCAGATTTTTTTCTAAACATTTTGTAGTTCAATTTATTTGGTTTATGCCCTTCCATTATGATTTACATACACTATACATGACATGGTTTGACATCCTAATTCAGTTTTATTCCTGACAAGTGTATGGTTTACTGACGTGTGCATTTTATCATGCCTTCCTTTCAACTTCTGCTAAAAATTGTTCCATATTTCTTTGTATCAAAGATCCACATTGTTCAAATTTTCATTATCTATTGAAGGTACAAGATCTTGGAAGCACACTCATTGAGTTATGGAGTCTAATGGACACACCATTAGACGAACAGAAATGCTTTGATCAGGTTACTTCTTTGATTTCAGTCTCACAAAATATAGTGATGCCCCAATGATGCCTTGCACATGACCTTATTAAGAAAGTCATAGTTGATTCTTGATTGTCTATTTATTTACTTATTTTCTTTGTATTTTCATCAAGCTAATTTCTTTAAATTATAGTAATTCTCATGTGAAATACCTTTCCCCCATTGTTTAGGTAGAGGTTGAGGTTAAGAGACCGAAGCATTTGAAAGCTAGCAAAATGAAAGAGCTTGTCTTAAAGAAAATGACTGAGCTTGAAGAAATCTACAAAAGTGTTCACATGCATATTGATAGCGATCATGAGTGGCAGATTCTCACTGAACTTATTGATTCTGGTTCACTTCTTTCTCATGCTATTCATCTTGAGGATCTTTGCACATGCCCTAGAGTTCAAACCTTGTTTGGGTCCGCGGAGACCCAATTCTGACATTTGGCACACCAGGCAAGGGCCTGTCAAAATCCTCCTCCCAGCTCTGCTTCGTCTTCATTCCGCCGCTCCCATGGCCGACGCCCACCAAGTCCCTAATGAGCGCCGAGCTGCCCGCATCGCCCAAACGGCAGAAGTTGGCTGCGGCGTGCCACACTGTTCCGCCTCTCCTGCAGCTAACGCTTCCAGTGACTCTCTTGCTCACGAGCAGCAGGACTCGTCACTGCCACCCTCCGTGTCGCGCGTTGGCCGCACAGCCACTCCATCTGCCACTCCAGCCATAGCGTCCTCCCATGCTCGTCGCGGGCCATTAAACGCGCAGTCTGCAATGCTCATGGCGCGCGAGGTGCTACGCTACCGCCCCACCGACGAGAGCTACGGCGCCTGGCTGGGCCGCATCACCGAGCTCGGCAATGCCGCCGGCGAGGCCCTGGTGCCCTCCCACTTGCTCCGTCCTCCCGGGTGAGCGACATGGCCCATGGTGCGCCTCCTCCTCCTCCTCTACGTAGCGCCGACCCAGAGGCCAGGCACGACGTGCTTTTGCGCGCCCCGTCGTGTGGGGTGCCGGCGCCGACACGGGATGAGGCAAGCTGCCAGGTGGTGTAGCGGCTACAAGGTGATGCGTGGGCGCTCCCTGCACCATGGTGCCAGTATCAAGACCGTGCGCCGCTGGAGGCTGTGGTGTGTGGATGTCAAGACCGAGCCCTCCTCACGCGTTCTACGCCAATGATGCAGCGGGCTGCCGCGCCTTCACGCAAGAGCTGCGCCGCATCATTTGGCCCAACAATTTCAAGCTAGACCTGCCTCTGTGATACGATGGCACCCCCGACCTTGTTGAGTTTTTCTAGGTGAGGATGGAGTTGGTCTAGAGATGGAGGGCGCGGATATTGTAGTGACTCGGAATGGGGTAGAAGAACTCCAAGAAGGGCGGGAGAAGCCATGCGAAGATGCTATGGAGGAAGAAGGGATGGACCGTCTGTGCCAAGGTGCTACACTCCGTGGAGCCTGCCCATATCAGGGTCTCGCCCCATTCGTTCTCGGCGCCCGCTGTCTAAGGGAGCGCGGAGCCGAGGTCCCCCTCCTTGGCGATGGATGAAGTGTCAAGAGCCAGCGAAGGAGAGAAGGAGGTCGCGACCTGGACAGCGGGCTTTGAATTCGCGACGGGTGCCATTCACGGAGTCGCCGGCACTGGTGAGGAAGAAGGAAGGGGGCGGAGTCGTTATTGGATCCGGAGGAGATCTTGGCTGGAGGAGGGGATCAGGAGCAAGGCGAGGGCCAGCAATGATGGCCCTGCGACATGCACCAGCCTTTTGCCAGCCTAGGCAATTGCCGAGGCAACATGGGGAAGTGGATGCGTTCGCGTCCCATCATGCGCCACGCATCAAGCCTGGCCCGCAGGCAATGAGGGCCCACGTCACTTCTTCCTTTGCTCCTTGGCTTCACCTAGAAGCCGGCCCGATCATGCCTTGGGCTTGGGGGCTACTGTCGGCTTTATGGGATCGGCGGTACCCAGACTTGCCTGCCTGCGGCCCAGCGCGCAGACTCATCGACGGCCCGGCATGGCCCAACTACAAGACCCCAAGGACAAGACTGTCGCGAGGGCCCCAGCCTCGCGGGGCAAACGATGCCAAGACCACCGAGGGGCATGATACGTCTCCAACATATCCATAATTTTTTATTGTTCCATGCTGTTATATTATCATTCTTGGATGTTTTATAATCATTTTATATCATTTTTTGGTACTAACCTATTGACATAGTGCCAAGTGCTAGTTGTTGGGGAACATAATAATTTCAAAAAAATTCCTATGCACACACAAGATCATGGTGATGCATAGCAACAAGAGGGGAGAGTGTTGTCCATGTACCCTCATAGACCAAAAGCGGAAGCGTTAGCACAACACGGTTGATGTAGTCGTACGTCTTCACGATCCGACCGATCAAGTATCGAACGCACGGCCCCTCCGATTTCAGCACACGTTCAGCCCGATGACGTCCCTCGAACTCCGATTCAGCCGAGTGTTGAGAGAGAGTTTCGTCAGCACGACGGTGTGGTGACGATGATGATGTTCTACCGATGCAAGGCTTCGCCTAAGCACCGCTACAGTGTTATCGAGGTGGACTATGGCGGAGGGGGGCACCGCACACGGCTAAAAAATAACCTGATCAATTGTTGTGTTTCTACGGTGCCCCTGCCCCTGTATATAAAGGAGCAAGGGGGGTGCGGCTGGCCAGGAGAGAGGGCGCGCCAGGAGGAGTCCTACTCCCACCAGGAGTAGGAATCCCCCCCTTTCCTAGTTGGATTAGGACTTGGGAGGGGGAAAGAGGAGGGAGAGAAGAAGGAAAGGGGGGCGCCACCCCCCTCTCCTTGTCCTAATCGGACTAGGGGGACGGGTGCGCGGCCCAGCCCTGGCCACCTCTCCTCTTCTCCATAAAGGCCCACTAAGGCCCATTAACCTCCCGGGAGGTTCCAATAACCTCCTGGTACTCCGGTAAAATCCCGATTTCACCCAGAACACTTCCGATATCCAAACATAGGCTTCCAATATATCAATCTTCATGTCTCGACCATTTCGAGACTCCTCGTCATGTCCGTGATCACATCCAGGACTCCGAACAACCTTCGGTACATCAAAACATATAAACTCATAATATAACTGTCATCAAAACATTAAGTGTGCGGACCCTACGGGTTCGAGAACTATGTGGGAATGACCAAGACACGTCTCCGGTCAATAACCAATAGAGGAACCTGGATGCTCATATTGGCTCCCACATATTCTACAAAGATCTTTATCAGTCAGACCGCATAACTACATACATTGTTCCCTTTGTCATCGGTATGTTACTTGCCCGAGATTCGATCGTCGGTATCTCAATACCTAGTTCAATCTCGTTACTGGCAAGTCTCTTTACACGTTCTGTAATACATCATCCCACAACTAACTCATTAGTTTCAATGCTTGCAAGGCTTAAGTGATGTGCATTACCGAGAGGGACAATAGATACCTCTCCGACATTGGAGTGACAAATCCTAATCTCGAAATATGCCAACCCAACAAGTACCTTCAGAGACACCTGTAGAGCACCTGTATAATCACCCAGCTACGTTGTGACGTTTGGTAGCACACAAAATGTTCCTCCGTTAAACGGGAGTTGCATAATCTCATAGTCATAGGAACAAGTATAAGTCATGAAGAAAGCAATAGCAACATACTAAACGATTGGGTGCTAAGCTAACGGAATGGGTAAGGTCAATCACATCATTCTCCTAATGATGTGATCCCGTTAATCAAATGACAACTCATGTCAATGGCTAAGAAACTTAACCATCTTTGATCAACGAGCTAGTCAAGTAGAGGCATACTAGTGACACTCTGTTTGTCTATGTATTCACACATGTATTATGTTTCCGGTTAATACAATTATAGCATGAATAATAAACATTTATCATGATATAAGGAAATAAAATAATTACTTTATTATTGCCTCCAGGGCATATTTCCTTCAGTCTCCCACTAGCACTTGAGTCAATTATCTAGATTACACAGTAATGATTCTAACACCCATGGAGCCTTGGTGCTGATCATGTTTTGCTCGTGGAAGAGGCTTAGTCAATGGGTCTGCAACATTCAAATCCGTATGTATCTTGCAAATTTCTATGTCTCCCACCTGGACTAAATCCCAGATGGAGTTGAAGTGTCTCTTGATGTGCTTGGTTCTCTTGTGAAATCTGGATTCCTTCGCCAAGGCAATTGCACCAGTATTGTCACAAAAGATTTTCACTGGACCCGGTGCACTAGGTATGACACCTAGATAGGCTATGAACTCCTTCATCCCGACTCCTTCATTTGCTGCTTCCGAAGCAGCTATGTACTCTGCTTCACACATAGATCCCGCCACGATGCTTTGTTTAGA